GTCTGCATATCTGAGATTATTGACATTAATTCCGTCCTTTGAAAATAAATTAGCAGTAGATATTAAAAGTATAGGCAATGGAATACATCCTTGCCTCACTCCACGTCGTATTTCCACTGCTTCTGTCGTATTGTGTCGAAGTCGTATGTTTGCACATTGATGCCAATACAAATTTTTGATAATACTGAGGTCTCGGTCATCAATTCCTACCTGTTGCAAGACACCTGTATGTTTGTCATGGTTTACTCAGTCAAAGGCCTTTTCTGTCTTATTCATTGACTATAATATTTCCTTGTTTATCAAGTAAACTACTTGCAGTTGATTTTTATGTTCCAGTTATTTCTTTCACCTTTTTGTACATACTAAACGTGTCATTCTTTTTCTGCAGTTCTTCTATTTTAAGACATTATTTGTTGCTGAACCATTTTTTTGCATCCCGAATTTTCCTTCTGATTTCCTTATGGGTTTTGTTGTGTTCTTCAGTGTTTTTATTTTTCTGTTTTCGTCAGTAATCCAGTGGTGTTTGCGCTTACTAATAGTTTTATACTGTTTAGTTGTTTCTTGCATAATGGTTTTGACATGATTCCTGTGGTCTTCGACGATATGTGTTTCTTCCGATTTTTCGAACTTCATGGCTATTTTCTCTTTCGGTTGTGCATGCTTGATCAATTATGTGCTTGGTGAGTCATAAATTCGTGAGCTAGTGATATGCAGGTAGATTTCTGTAATGTCATTGATATATGAGAAGCACTAAGCTACTAGCAGAAGCTATTTAGCAGAAATTTACATTGCAGAACTTTAGTAAGATTAATGGGGTAAATCAGGCAAGGATTTATATCCTCACCTCTACTATTTAATCCTCGGTTAACAACTTAAGCAAATGGTATGATTGCAGCTAAAACAAACTGTAGAAACAGCTGTTTGTAAAGTTAAAGCAGCCATAATGATTGCAAACCTGCTTAATTGAGATGGTGCTTAAAGAAATAGAAAAAATAATAAATTAAATTTCGAGTATTAATTCATAACACTTCCTGTGGTTATTTATTTATAAAACGAATTTTATTAAACACCGATCGAATACATTAAGTATTTTATTATATTGATCCAGTAAAAGAAATCTAAAAGTTTTCCCGTATGTAACGTAGATAACCTTCTAAATGGTTTTAGATCCGCCTAAGCTTTCGATATCCCAACAGCAAAAACAACACTTTGTATGCATCGGGAGACAACGCCTTTTAATTAAACTTAAAATAAAATCACTACAGGGGATAAAAGATCGACCGCAATAACATTTATTAGAGTTACGAACTATGTTAGGAAGGTGAATTGGAAAGGAGGAGAAGGAGAGCTTCCTAGAGGAAAGTAGAGGTGTATTCATTTAGATAGATTGAATTTGTTGAATAGATCCTTTGTAGAACGATTCCTATAAGAGCAAATCATAGTACGACTTAGTCTTACCAAATAAAGGTATGCTTGAGCGTTATTAGTAATATCTTTGAGCTTTTATCATTAAAATTTACAGTTGTGGTAACTAAAATATTTACACTTTAATTAAATAGCTATTGGTTTTAAGTTTCAATCTAGTAATAAGTTCAATCCAATTTATTTTTGAAAAAATTTAAATGCGTTTAAGTAATTTTAATCAGTTTTTTACATACTAAAAACTAAAAATAAGCCAGTTAAAGTGGACTTTTGTATTAATTCTAGTTCTTGTTCTAATTCTGTTTAACTAAGAAGAAGTTTGAACATATCTTTCAATTCTTTTTTTATAGATGTTGTTAATAGATGCTTTTGTCCACTTTGGTGGTAAGTCATGTCGTTTATAGAATAAGGTGAAAACATACGCTAGTAAGTCCACCACTTCCTTATCCTAACTTAAGTCGATGATTCTTAACTTTTACTTTGGATTTGTTTTTCCCTACTAGATAGATTGTTATAATAAATACATTTATCTTTTTTAATCATAAATGATGTTGGTGGTAGCCAAAGGTGCATTTGGCCTTATGTAAATAAATTTATAATAAAATATATTTTATGTAATTAAGGATGGACTATCTTACTACACCTTTGAGAAGAACAAAATTGTATTTATAGATTGAGTAAGGCATCCTTTCTTTAAAAAAAAATATCTCTACTCTTCGTCTCCCCATTTTCGTTCGTTTAATATAGTAGCATTTCGAATTACCTTGTATATGTTAAAACACTTAATCTTTTTGCGTCTCTGGGATTGATAAATTAACATATTTAGTCTTGTTTATAAAACACAGATTGGTATTTCGCTTTTAATCCTGATTCCACTTAATATTGCGTGTCAAAAAAATATCCAGTTATGGATATGATACAAACAAATATCCAAACAATATGCATGGAAAAGAATGATGTCACTGTCGGTGAAGCCGCTGTCAAAAGCAGTCGGTTTCATTGTTTTATCCGGATTTTCTTTAAATTCGTTATTGTTTTTTTTTCGTTATACGTTTTTTTTTGTCATCAAAAAAGTGAAGTGTAGTAACAGTGAGAGTGGAGATTTTTATTTGAAATTTTTTTAAGTTAGGAGATGAATTTATGCCCAAGATGCGATTTGACAGTCTTTGATGAGTTAGTTAATCACCCAATCACCGATTTGTTGTGCTGTGTCCCATGTGAAGAGTTTGTAAATGGCGACTCCAACATTTCGACAGGTCCACTGGTTTTAAATAAGAATTGAGCGGCCGAGTTTTGACGAGTGCAGTTTGTTATGAATAATAAATATCTAAAGTTTTTCTTTAAGCCAGATTTATAAAATTGTATCCTTTAAAAATATTCTTACCTTTTAAATTTTTTTTAAGAAAGAAAAGTCTTTCTTTATATCCAGCGTGACGATTAAATGGCATCCAATTCAAATAGTTTAGGAACCTTCTTATGTTTGTTGCCCAGGAAATCTCTGTAAGTATTTTCTTTATTTCTTCCTTTTCAGTTACCCATTTCTAGTCCCTCAAATAAAGATACTTACCTACGACCCCTACGAGCTCTCCAACCCAAACAAGAGTGGCCGTTCTTAAACGTTTCGGTTTGTTTGCTTACCCTATCTTCAGCCCAGTTATTGCTCAGTCCCCACTTTCAACCAGCTATAAGAAATTATATATTTTTACAAATGATACCCATTGTGGTAGGCAAAATAAATCGTTACACTATACTAGATATATAAATATATTTTCCCTTTATTTACAAAACTAACTTAATAACAACTAATTATGGTAACTTAATTCTATGACTCTGTATTTTTGGGGTCTCTATTGGCTTACAAATCCACTTAGTGTGCAGATATAACGTAAATATCGGAACTGTTTTATACACGTATATCACGTTATTGTACAACTTTTTGTTTATGTATATCGTAACTTGAATTAAGAACTTAGTTGATTGATTTAAAGTCTGATTGATTTAAATGGCCGTTTGAACTAAATGGCCCATCTCTATACCGGAAGAAGGTGCGGGACTTCTTACTGGAAAGTTTTGGTAACAAGGGACTTGGTTATTCTGGCGGTCACTGATTGGATAACAACTAATCTCACTTAATTGAAAGAGGATCGTTCTGATTATCCCGGAATTCTCATACCGGTCTTATATAACTAGTTAGCACTTAAAACTTACTTCCAACTGACACATTTCGATTTAATCGGTCTGGATCTTTTCCCAAATCTAGGACTAATTCAATTGGATCAAAGGACGGTTGTCAACGGACATTTAATTGACCAAATGGTTAGTCTTGTGTAGTGAACATAGTTGTATAAACAGAAAACCGCCTGGCTGGCGAAAATTACTTTACGCAAATCCAAAGTTGTATTACAGATAATCAATAAATACCACTTGTGTTAACAATTTTAGGATTCTAAACGAGTGCTTCATTACATCATACTAAATAAATAGACATACAAACTTTTTTGTTCAACATATTTAAAGAATTTTCAAATTAGGCATATATAAATCATCTCTTTTAGTCGAGTTGCCAGAGATTTTATCTCTAAAAACGAAATGAACAAGCTGAATTTTGCTGAGAATGTCAATCTTGGGACCACAAAAAAGACGCAAAAATGGTTGCCACTCCTACTTCGGACTTCCCTCTACATCCTCTCTGATAAATTGGGAAATCGACGGAGGGGCGGAAGTCTGTAGGCCGTAGTAAAAAAAATGTTTCACATAAGAAATGTTTGATTTAAGAAATTTATAATCACTTTTTCTATAGAATGAACTGTTTTCTTAGAATCAGCGTGTGAAGCGGCCAGCGATTTTAAATGTCAGTCGATTATGAATTTTTACCGTCAAGTTGATACAAATTTTATGTAAAAATTTATTCATTGCGCTTATCTGACATTCGCACAAACAGAAAAACTGTTAATGAACTTTTTTTTTAATTATCTCAGCTAAATTTTTTGTTTAAAACATTTTCTTCCCCGAACAAAATCGATTTTCTATTTAACACTTATACATATTTAAAGCGATAAAAGTTAATAATCTCTAGGTTAACCGAAAATGCAGTATTTTCAAAAGATTTGAAATCAAGAAATTCAAAAGGAATTTAAATGCTACAACGTTCGACTTGTATGTTATTATGTACTACAATCTGTGTTATTTTGTGGTCGCCAGTAATTCGCCTTTGGTTCTTTTTCGTCAATTGCATATCGCATATCCATTATACAAAATGTTTTAATATGTGGTTATGTGGCACTAAACCTTCGAATACTGTTGTTCGCTATGAGGGTCGTTTATTTATAATTTATCCTCAAGAGTGCACAATACCTTTGGGCTTATTCAGAACTGAAGATCGTGATCCTCAATATCCAGTATTTACTCAAAACCAAGTATATTTTTATATACTGTTTAGGAGTACTGACATTATTGATATTAAAGCACCAACAATGTATCATCCACAACCATTCAATAAGGCTGCCATTATGCAGCTTTCAGTTCCACCATCACTGAAAGACCAAACCTTCCATTAGGCTCATGGAGTTCTGGGTGCAATGACTCCTCAAATGGTGCAGGTTCCTGGTGAATATGGTAGCATTTGTACCATTGGAGAAATAAATATTGGAGCTATTGGAACACCATTAGGCATGCAGAGAGACAGCAGGAGTTTAAGGAATTTAAAGCCAACTTCTGTTTTAGATCTTATTGTTGACTCAAGCGGTACCACACCTGCAAGTCTCAGTTGCAGAAAGTCATCTATTAACGATTAGAAAGTCCAAGCGAGAGGATCAGGCCACAACGAGAAGAGAGTTGTCCAGCAAATTTAACCTTAATCAAAGAAACCAATCGAGATATTCTAAAGAGAGAAATGACAACCAACAGCAAAACAGACAGCCCATTGGTTGATCTCAATAGAAAAATGCTCAATACAGTTACCAACATTATGCTGGATACTTAAACCAACACTATCAAGGATACCATCAGCACTACCAACAGCACCCTAGAGGTAATTGGGTGAATAATTAAGGTCCAATGAGGATGAGAGGCAAAGTAGGAACCAGGCTACAGAAACATCATAATTATGATTTTGAGAAGGCCAATACTGAATTTGAAGAACTTAGAAGTCAGCTGGAGCACTTAAAAATTAATGAAGTTGGAAGTGTAAGTACTAAGAGTGCCGTGCATGGAGATGTGGAGAAAAAAAAATTATAGAAATGAAACAGGTGCTGGAGAGACTGAACAAAAGAAGGAACACTAAATATATTACGACAATGGTAAATATTGGTTTGATACGATTTTATGTAAAGCAGTTAAAAAATATACATTAAAATATAATAATTAATGTGCAAGGATCTAATTCAGTAAGGCTTTATTGGCAAATATTGATTTGGTATTTTATCGTTTATTACCGTATTAATGTAAACAAATAAATAAATCAGTTAACAAACATAAAATGTTCAATATTTTTTATTTATTATCGCTTTTAATTTAAACCAGCTGATATAACCAGTGTCAATTAATTGAAGATTAGAGTGAGCTTTTGATGACCGATAAGCTAATTTATTTGTACGTTTCTAAATAACAAAAAAGGGAAATAATGTTTAAAATAAAGAGCACCATGCATTTATCAAAAACGTTAAAATAAATAGATGCTTTATTTACAGTATACAATAATTTGATACACTTTTATCAAATTTTTATTTGTAGTTTATATTTATTTCGTGTTTTTGGTAATTAAATTGACCTTAAATTTTGTAATTGAGTATGTCTGCTAATATGAAATTTTAATAAGAATGTACCGAAGGAAGTTTTATTACTGTCAAAACATAAAGAAACGATAAGCTCTGCTTGGTACTTGACCCCGTCATATCATTGTTTATAGCTCTACCTAAGAAGAAAACAGCAAAAACCTGTGCTGATTATAGAACCATCAGTGTGTTAAACCACTACATGTACATCTACATGTATCTGTATCCACAATAAATGCGAGGAATACCTGGATGACACTCAGTTTGGTTTCCGTAACAGGTTTGGGACGAGAGAGGCACTGTTTGTTTTCCGTACTTGCTCAAAGAAGTCGTGATATATCTGTAGACATATACTGTTGTTTTATTGACTTCCAAAAGGCATTTGATCGTGTTAAGTACTCTATATTGATCGAAGCTCCAAAAGACATTGGCTTGGACGGGAAAGATGTTCGAACAATTGCAAATTTATATTGGAATCAAACAACATCAGTTTTAGTAGATGGTGTGAAATCACAGGCTCTCAATACTAAAAGAGGAGTACGGCAGGGATGCCTCTTGTCACCCCTGCTTTTTAACGTTTACTCCAAAAGAATTTTCAGAAAGGCACTTTCTTTCAGAAAAACAAGAAGGAATACTTGTGAACGGCGAAGGCATCAATATGCGGACGATACAGTACTTCAAGCAACAATACAAATGTCATTAACAATAATTAAACATCATTTTAATTTGTAGTAATATTAAAAGTACAATTAGTTAATGAGGCATTTTCAAAATTGAAACCGTGCAAAAATGTTCCCGACTCTTGATACGCATTGGTAATTTTTGATGATACTGATGGTCGAGAACAACTTTCAGCAATCATTCCCGATGTTGGCGAATCATGAGGGTTTAAAATTGTTTAAGCATTATCGTTCTTATTTCTTATTGAATCCTCTATATATCCTTCGGCAACCGTGCTTGATTTCCAGCCCCATGTCGTGTGAGGCATTCTAGATTTCCGCCTTCATCAATTAAAAGTGTTGCTGAGGTTCGTCGTAAAGAGTGACCCGTGTATGCGCTTGCATCGTTTAAATTAAATAAGAAAGGCACGTAACTTTAAAACTTTGCTTATATCCACATTTTTTCTAATAACTAACTCGGATTTTATCATAGAGTATCGTGACCACATTGTAGAAGATTTCCATTTATTTTCATTTTCCATTATATTAAAATATGCCAGTAAAACGCCTTTGGTAACTTGCCGTACTCCTCTTGTATCGCACCACTCTTGGAAGTGCTTGTACGCTAACCGATACTTTATTCCGGACTTGGAGGGCCCCAAACGTGCTACTGCATCATTAGCCGCGGACTCAATTTAATTTAGGTTTTCCATTTTCGCACTAAATTTGCGCTTACGGTTGCAACAACAATAAGCTGTCTTTAATATTTGCAAACAACTGTCAAACAACTGTAACCAGGGAGACGCAAATCCCACCGACGACTTAATTATTTTAATTTCTAACATCTAGACGATTTCGATAGTTGTCACAGTTAATTTCGAGTAAAAATAGCGTATGGATTGTACTATTTATGGTTGAAAATTGCTACGTTTGAAGAAAAAATAGTATACCTTGGACAGCAATTAAATTGTAACGCAGAAAGTCACGGCGAAATTAGATCTAGGATAGAGCAGGCTAGAGCTGCTTTTAGAATAATGTTTAAGGTGTTATGTAAGAGACCTAAAATTGGGTATGTATAATAGGTAATACTATGACTTCGTAAGTTTTTTCTGGGATTGGTGTGGGATTGGTTGTTTCTTCCAGCAGTATGGTGGACATTTTTTTATTTCTGTACATCAAAGTTTGTATTAGAAAAATACTAAATTCTTTATAATATTCTTTTTACTTTTTATACAAAATTTAAAATAGGCAAATATAAACATATTTTGACAGAAGTTATTGCAAATTGATTAGAATAAAAATAGAATTTTTAAGATTTAAACTGGGCTTTCCAGAAGTTTTATAATCCAGAGCCAAGTACAATGTTTTGAAAACTGCTATAACGAGACATTTAAAAGTTTAATACGGAATGAAATTTTCCATTGTAGCGCAAAAACCATCGAATAATAATCAAACCCGTGTCGATAAAGCTAACCCAAGAGTTCCATTCTCCAATTCATATCAACAGTAATATTCCTTATGAGTGGTAACATTCGATAAGGCCATATTCGACAAGACCGTTCCAACGTAGGTTTCAATTCCGCCAGCGCAGCTGAACACTGAAAATTTTCATGGGAAAGATCTAAATGACAGCGCTCGAAGAGGTTTTGCCGCAAATGCCGCTTAATGCATTAAATTTTATGAATACCGGAAGTGTCTGTAGTAATCTCCGAACTATAATAATTTTAATCTTAGTTATGCTGGGGAGTTTATTTTATGAGGCGACACGTAAAGATTATGAATAAAACTACTGTTTATTACCCGTGGCCGTGCTTCGAGTGACGCAGATTTTATCTCTTGTCCTTTAACGGTACATTTACTCGGTTCGGTACTACACTACCTATTTTAATCAGGAAAATCGCATCCACAAGATTTTATAGTTCCATGTCTCTCCTTCCTTCTTATTTTCTATATAATAAGAAGGAATATTATATATATATATATATATATATATATATATATATAATATATATATATATATATATATATATATATACAAATGTAACGGAGGAAATTTTGGTCAAATGCAAAATATTTCAGTTGTTTTATTAATCTTTAGCCCTCTTTTGATAATTTTTTTAACACACTGTGTAAAAATTTTAATATACATATATACAGTGAACGGCTAAATTATGGAATATTATCATTATTTTAAGATCCGTCGAGTTTTGAGGGAAATCCCGAAACAGGCCGATTTTTGTTATAAAATACCCATCTTATAACGTAGAAATGTTTCAAAACCTCGTGGACCTCGTAAATGCGCATGCTCGAAAAAATAAATGGATCCTAAAAACATGCACCATTTTAATTTCATACGAAATTGGGCGACAGGATTTGTACGTGCTAATGATGTCGAGTATTTCCATAAACATGTTCATTCAGCAAAATAATAATATACGAGACGAAAACCTCGAATTCTTTGGGGAAAATATTCGCATGAGATTTTTTGCATAATCACTTTCATAAATGACCGCAGAATATTGTTCAAGAGGTCGCCCATACAAAAAGTGGTCCTAATTTATTAAACAGTTTTGTATAAATCCATTTTTAGGTTGGGATAAGACCTTCAAACAACTAAAAACAATGTTTTAAAATCAAATAAGCCCAAACTAAAGTATCAGAAACTGATAGAATTTTTGGTGAATTCAAAAATAATTGTGTGTGTTTAAGCCACTTTTCGTTTTTTTGTTTAGTTTTGGATTGTTTATAAGTTATAAAATAAAAATATAAAAAGCTATTTTACTAACGCAAAAACTAGTTCGTCTCTGTCTCGCTACGATAACGCACTGAAGAGAACTGCATGTTTTTAGCAATACCTGATTTCGTTGTTTCGTTCGTAGATCGACGTCACTAAATGATTACGTCAGGTCCAGCACATTATGAATTAACATGGAGTAGGGATGATGTCACCGGTGTAGGTGTAGTGACGTAATCGTTAATTTTTTTAAATAGAAATCGGTATAATGCTACACCTTATTTTAACGAGAACTTAATTCTCTATTTAACTTTACATTTTTAACTAAAATATTTTTTAAGGGTACAAAAACAATTGTTTTTAATTTAAATTCAACTAAATTACAACTGATGATTTAATTCATAATGTGCTTTAAAGTAACCAAATTATGCGTAATAATTATTTTAAATTAAATTTTCGAAATGCCATCCATCGGTTTCTTGACAATATGCGAATCTACGGACACATTCATCAAGTACATTGCAGATAACTTCTGGAGTAATTAGACTCACTTCATGCCTAATTCTATCTTTCAAGTCCTGTAAGTTTTTTGATCTATTGACATAAACTTTTGATTTTATGTAACCTCA